CGGGGCGGGGCGGGGGAGCCCTTGGTCACGCCCCTCTCCCCCCTCCCCAGGTGGCGTGGTGACCCCTGACCTCCCCCTCGCCTCTCTTCTCTCCCTCCCCCCACCCTCCAGATCGACCGCTTCATCCCCGTGACCAAGCTGAAGTACTACTTCGCCGTGGACACCCTCTACGTGGGCAGGAAGCTCGGCCTCCTCCTCTTCCCCTTCCTGCACCGGGTGAGCTCCGGGAGGGGGGCGTACTCCAAGGGCCTCCCGAGCCCAGCAGCTCCCCAGGGCATCTTTGCGGAGCCTCTGGGCGGAGGGCAGGTGGGCGAGTGGGTGGCTGACCCTCCTGTTCTCTCGGAGCGGGGCCAGGGAGAGAGGGCCCCGGGAGCAAGCCCCTGCAGGGGCCGGGCACTGCTTCTCTGAGCCTCAGCTACCCCGCAGGGTTGCTGAGGGGAGACCAATGCTCCTTCTAAGCTGTGGAGTCTTGTGAGCAAAAACCCTACTCTATGAGCTACGGGCACTGAAGTTGCGAGCGAGCCATTTGGGCGCTGCAGAAATTAAGTTTGCTCTGGAGCCCCATCCTTCCCGAGCTAAGACAAAAACATGGGAGCCAGAGGCTAAAAAGCTGTGTGCTAGCTCACACTCACTCAGCTTAGAGGGAACACTGAGGGAGACCTGTGTGCCAGGGAGGGAGTGGGGGTCACTGGGAGAGTGAGGAGCTGTGAATTTCTTATGTTGTGCAGGGGGCTGGACTAGATGACCCTTTGGGGTCCCCCTCCAGCTCCGTGTTTCTGTGCTTACGCGTGTGTCCCCTCTGGCAGGATTGGCAGGTGCAGTACCAGCAGGACACACCCGTGGCCCCCCGCTTTGACATCAATGCCCCGGACCTCTACATTCCAGGTGCTTCCCATTCCATTCCCCAGACTACGGGGCAGGCTGGGGGCGGCTGCTGGCACCTACTTCCGCATGCCAGCCACCCACCTCCCAAAAGAGGCTTGTTTAGCATGGCTGCCGGCGGACGTAGGCCTCTTGCTTGCTTGCCTGCTGAGGTGTGGCTAATGCCCGTTGTTCCCCCACAGTCATGGCATTCATCACCTACATCCTGGTGGCAGGGCTGGCCCTGGGAACGCAGAACAGGTGAGAGAACGGTTGACTCTGAGGGTACTCCCATAATCCTCTCTGTTGGGAGCAAAGGCCCGGGGACCCATGGGAGAGGGGAAGGGCCAGGCCTGTCTGATGCTCAGGGGCTCCAAGCCCTCCCCATGGCGGTGCTGGGCCAGATCCCTGTGCCCCGCTTTCACTCCCAGGAGTCGCGTCTGCCTGGGCCGGGCTCCCTCCGTGTCGCACAAGGGCGAGGCAGCCTCACTTCACGCCTCCCGCTCCCTCCCCATTTGGTGTAGTGGGATAAGTGCACGGACTCTAATCTGGGAGAACCAGGTTTGATTCCCCACTCCTCTTCCACTTGCACCTGCTGGTGTGACCTTGGGCAAGGCATAGTTCTGGCAAGAGCTGTCCTTGAAAAACAGCCGTTTCTGTCAAGAGCTCCCTCAGCCCCACCTAACTCACAGGGTGTCTGTGGTGGGGAGGGGAAGGAGTTTGTCAGCCGCTCTGAGACTCCCTTGGGTAGTGAAGGGCCATGGGGTATAGATCCAATCTCTTCTTCTTCTTCTCCTCCCCGTGCAGGTTCTCCCCCGACCTGCTGGGCCTGCAAGCCAGCTCAGCCTTGGCCTGGCTAATCGTGGAAGTCTTGGCCGTCCTCCTGAGCCTCTACCTCGTGACAGTCAACACCGATTTGACCACCATCGATTTGGTCGCTTTCTCAGGGTACAAATACGTGGGGTGAGTGGAGATCCCAGCGGCCCAGGCACAGCCTGTTCCAGAGGGAGGGGTGGCTGCCCCACTGCCCGTTCTGAGCGGATGCCGGGGGTGGGGGGCTGGGGGGATCGGTGGCCGAAGGTGCTCCCTGACCACCACCACCACCACCACCCCTTTCTTCCCATGCCAGGATGATTGTGGGCCTTGTGGCTGGGCTGCTTTTTGGGAAGACGGGCTACTTCCTGCTGCTGAGCTGGTGCTGCCTGTCCATCTTCGTCTTCATGGTAAGAGCTGGCTGGGCCTGGAGGGTTCAGGGTTTGGCGGGAGCTGGCAGCTCCTCCTCCTCCCCCCCCCCAGTCTTCCCTGCCCGCCGTGGCAGCCCAAAGGTCCCCACCACACCTTTGGCTGGTCCTGGCCCCGGGCCTGTCCTTAGCCCCTGTCCCTCCCTGCCCCAGATCCGGACCCTGCGCCTGAAGATCCTGTCCGAGGCGGCCGCCGAAGGAGTGCCAGTGCGGGGGGCCAAGAACCAGCTCCGCATGTACCTGACCATGGCTGTGGCCGGCCTGCAGCCCGTTTTCATGTACTGGCTCACTTTCCACCTCGTCCGCTGACGGTCAAGCGGAGCCTGGCGCCGCTCCAGCTAGGAGGCAGCGGCCGCTGGAAATCGACGGGACAGCCCACCTCCAACCGGACCCTGAGTGCGTGGGGTGTGTGTGTGTGTGTCAGTGGGCCGGGCAGGAGGCAGACACACAGGGCGGCGGCGGCAGCAGCAAGCCTCTTCCTCCACTCCCTTCCCGGGGCAAGGGGAGTGGGGTGCCCTGCGCTGTGGCTGTCTGCTTTTCCCCTGTCCCTCTGGCTGGGACCCCTCAGCTGCCCCCGTGGCCCAGGCTGGATCATATCTGGTAGGTGCCCAGCTGCCTCCCAGTGTCTGTTTACGTTCTTGCTAGTTTGTGTGTCAGTATTACTGTGAAAGGGATCCACCCACCGGTGCTTGCTTTTCTGTTAAACCCCACCCGTTTGGATGCTGCCAGGTGGGTGACTTGTGTTCAGACATCAAGCAAATAAAGCACAACCCCCCCCCC